CCCCACCCACCCCACCCCCCACCCCACCCCACCCCACCCCCCCCACCCCCCCCCCCACCCCACCCCACCCACCCCACCCCCCCCCCCACCCCACCCCCCCAAGGGTAACTGATCATGAAAGAGCAGTGCGTGTAAGTGCTCTACAGCAAGAAAGATGATGAGGTTGCTGTGCGTGTGCAGGCATAGGAACATGAACCTTATTAACTCACCCCACCCCACCGGTAACTGATCATGAAAGAGCTGTGCCTGTCTCTGCTCAACAGCAAGAAAGATGATGAGGTTGCTGTGCCTGTGTGTGCATAGGAACATGAACGTTATCATCCCACCCCACCCCACCCCACACCCACCCCCACCCCCCCCACCCCCCCACCCCCCAAGGTAACTGATCATGAAAGAGCAGTGCGTGTAAGTGCTCTACAGCAAGAAAGATGATGAGGTTGCTGTGCGTGTGCAGGCATAGGAACATGAACCTTATTAACTCACCCCACCCCACCGGTAACTGATCATGAAAGAGCTGTGCCTGTCTCTGCTCTACGGGAAGAAAGATGATGAGGTTGCTGTGCCTGTGTGTGCATAGGAACATGAACGTTATCATCCCAGCCCACCCCACCCCACCCCACCCCCCCCACCCCAGTGGAACATGAAAGAGAGAGGTTTATCTTGCCCGAAATGGCTAGTTCCCAGCATCAATGTGCGCGGATGACCGCTCTTTGTGCGCGGATGACGCGGTTCCGCTGTGCGCGGATGACGCGTTTGCAATGTGCGCAGATGACTCGCTTTCAATGTGCGCAGATGACGCGTTGACCATAACTTCATGTGGCAGAGGTAGTTTTTTTGTTTCAATGGTGTTCTAATGTTGTTTCGTGATGTTTCGTGTTGTATTTTTCTTTCTGTGAGATACTTCTTTGTTGAAATGTATTGGTTTCACCCTTTGGACATTTTGATATATTTTTGCCGAAAGTTGCTCGGAAAGCTTTGGCTGAGTGGCGCCTATTTCATGTCTCTACAAAGCACTCCTGCAGCACTCACGTTTGTCTAAGTTGCTGTACATCACTGTGAGAGATTTATCTCCGAATGTCTTGCAAACGTGGGACTTCCCAGCATTTCCTTGCACGCTACTTCGATTCTCATGACTGGCATGTGCATCGGCCTTGATCTCCCGTTGTTTCAGGCTCTGCTGTCAGCCTTGCACCCCTTCGAAGACAGCGGTCTTCGGCCATGGAGCCAAGGCCTTGAATGGCCGGTCATAGCTGGGTCCCGTTCTTTGAGTTTGAAATGCGTCTGAATCCCGAGTATAGCATCATTGAACAAATGGGTATAAATTTGTTTCTTGTGAGCTCCTTGCACTTGCCGGACCAGCTACCAGGTGTCTTTGCTCGGTTCCTTTGAAGTTCTCGAAGAGTGTCAGGCTTGGGCCTCACAAAATCTATCCAGTGTCAGTCCTTGCTTCCTCGAAAGAGCAGTCCTGATGTGTCTTAGCACAGCCAATCCCTCTACTCTGTAATTCTCTCTATCAACTTCTGATGCGTACGAGAAAGATGTAGAATCCAAAACTGTCATCCCACGCTTCACTTGGCTGGACTTTTCCTCGAAGTTGTTTTTGATGTCCTTCACTCGGATACTTTGGAAATTTTAGAATCGGAAGACCAGTTAGATTTCGATATTTTCCCTGATTCAGGTGTTGCGCCGGAATCACCGGGATGAATCGCAGCCTCCATCAGCCGTTCTCAGCTGGTGAGGCGGGGATGGGACTGTCAGCTTACATCGCAGCTCAGCAATTCTCAGCACTAATCGGTATACATGGAACCGCGTCGGTGGATCTGTGGAATTTGAAAGCTGAAGTTCGTGCACACCGGGATATGTCTTTTTGTCACTGTCACAGATCTCAGATTGCATGCAGCTTGACGTTCTTCGAAGCCTTGAAGACAACTACTTCGGTGAGGAAAACATAGGAAAACCAACATGCAATCGCATTGGCGACATTGGAGCCATGCTGTGTCCTGTCCTGTCCAGTTGGCTTCATAGGCGGGGGGCACTGTAGGTCATGCAGGTTTTGCATTTCTCTTTTGCGAGATTTTTCTGTCTCTTTGGTGATACTGTGGAGATTTGTTCGGAAAGCTGTGGCTGAGTGCCTTTTTCCCTACAAGCCACTCTCAAGATGTTCAAGCCACTCTCGAGTGTGTCCGTTGCATGAGAGACTCATTCTACATGTACCCTATGGTCCAGGTCAAATTACTCCCCTTCGTCCAAAATACGCCCCTTTCAGAAAGACATTTTTCCCCTAGCTGCCAGGTGAGGGGCATCTAGGTGTTAAGTTTTAACAAGGGTGTGCCTCACTTACTCTTATGCACTCCTACTATATTCGCTCCTTCTCTTCGTTTCTTCCTCTGCCAGCTCGTCATGGCTGTGGGCATCAACGGATCCGAGCCATGTTGCGCTCTGAATGCAGTGGGCCACGCCTGGACCCGAACATAGAATGTCAGAAATAGATGCCAGAAAGACTGCTAGATAGAATGTTCGAACATATTATGAAGATGTCAGATAGAATGCCAGAAAGAATGTTAGAAAGAATGGCAGGCTAAAGTATATGCCAGAAAAATTGCCAGATAGAATGTCAGAACATACGTTTGCATGTCAGAGGAAAAAGTCAGAATAAATATAAGATAGATTGCAGGAAAGAATGCCAGATAGAATGTGTGAAAATATGCCAGATAAAATGACAGATAGAATGTCAGCGGTCAGCGCATATGCCAGAAAAAATGTCAGATAGAATGTCCGTCAAATAGAGTGCCGAAAAGAATGCCAGATAGAATGTCACTTAGTGGGGATCACGATTTTAACACTGAGTTATTTCATCAAATCGAGCCATGACTTGGAGACAAAGGTCTCTGTATGTGCTTGTCAAAGAAGAGTTGAGACCTCGGACTGGGCAAGAATCCTTGTGCACAACAGGATGCATGGAAACAACTGCAGGCATCCGGAAAATATTATCGCTGCCCAAAAACAGTATAGTGTCCCCCAAAAAGATGGAAAAGTTACAACCTGAAAAACGACGGGAAAATTTTTCAGGTTTGCAAACTTTTCTATCTTTAGTATCGACTGAAAATTTACAGGGTTTCCTTAATTTTGATGATTTTAAGTTCACAATTCCCTGTAAATTTTCAGGCGATACTAAAGATAGAAAAGTTTTGAACCATAAAAACTGATCTAATTGTGACTTTTTCTCACGTATATGCAGACGATACTAAAGATAGAAAAGCTTGGAATAGCTGAAACCCTGTAAATAGCGCACTTTTCCCATCTCCCGGGCCTACACCTGTGATCGTGTCATTTTGAGTAGTTCTAAAAAGCCTTTGGCTTTCCTTTTTTGTAGTCCATGGCAACTTTTTTGCACTGGACGGAAAACAGCAACAGACCTCCCTCAGGCCTGAACACTGCATACAAGCTGGAATGACCCCTCGAAAACAGACAAAAAACACGTGGCATGTTTGGAAAACTGAAAAAATGGTACTTAAAACATTCTGAACTCTCTCTGAACTCCAGCCATCTGCGATAATTTGCTTGATTTAAGCAAGGTTTTCATCAGGAAATTTCTCCCCGAAATTTCGGTCAAAATTTTCCCGTCGGTTTTCAGGATGTCGGGTCAAAATTTTCCCGTCGGTTTTCAGGACGTAACATCCTGAAAAAACTTTTCTATCTTCTTGGGGGACACTATAGGCCTGTCAAGTTGGTCGTTTCAGCAATCCCCGGGTATCGGTTGGTTACGGAGCGACAACATTCCCATCAAGACATGCATATAATGACTATTTAAGATTTCTGTCCTTGTCTGTGAAGGAAAATGAGGGAAACACCATTTTCATAGAAATCTGTTCCATATAACAATATTCGTCTTGCACGAATCACCTGAAAACAAAGTAGGGAAGGGGCCTTTTGGCCTGAAAAAGTCGCCTTTTGGTCGGGAAATGTCGGATATTCACAAGACGTTTTTGCAAATTTTGGAAATGGTACAAAAACATCGGCGGTGGGGAACAAGTCGCCTTTAGACCTTCAAAAAGGCACACTTATCTGCCCGAAAAGGACAAACCCATGAACAATCACAAAGATGCGGGTTTTAGCAATTAGTGAACACAACCTTATAAAGATAATGCTAGAATTACGTATTGGCTACGTAATTACCAACATTTTTGCAGGCTTAATTATGCCTTTTTTACATCCTCTGACGGACTCTTACGGATTGCGGGTCCACCTACGGGTCAGCATCCCTGGGCATTACGTATGACCTGCGTAATTGGCAAACCCCCTTCAATGCAAAAAATAATGTGTGTCTTTGGGGGAAGCATACCTCCAGAAAAGCTTATCCTAGATGTCCATATCTGAATTGAACATCTTTATTAAAATTGACTAGAAACCATTTAGTAGCTATTTATTGGAATTTAATTTCACCTTGATTGCTGTTCATTGAAGTCCCGACACTGCACTTTGGAGCGGGGGTGGTAGGCTTTGGGGGCTAAGACTAGCTGGATGCCCAAATGCTTGCAGTGTTTAGGTCCGAACTGGATAGGGTCAAGGAAAAGGATACGCACTGTCCTGGGTCCCTGGGTCAAGTTGTGTGTACTTGCGTGAAATTGGAAGATCTTGGAAGTTGCCTTTGATTTTCTTCAGGTGCTGGCCGGAAGGAAAACAAACTCCATGTTTCCACACGTTTCCTTGCCGAAGCGTGGTTGTACTTGACTCCTGGCATGAACCGAAGCCTCAATTGGCTGAGAGCTTCAAAGAGATCATGTGGCCATATCCACAACAGTGACACCAAAATTGCAGGGTTACAACACGGTTTATGAAAGCAAATCATACCGATATCAAAATTCCATCCAGATACTGCAATGATGTTCCGTCCGGTGGGTTTGATCGAAACATATAGTCCTTCAATATTTCCTTATCTAGGAGGCTAGTTCCCAAGATTCGGCGACTTGTGACATTCTCGAGCAACGCTTTACCTAGCCATGGCGAAGTGGTCACTTCTTTGGCCTTTGACTTTCGGCGTCGCCAGCGCGCGAAGTTCTGAACCCACTGCGCTGCCCGGTGTTCGGACGGTTTTGGAATGTTTTGGGCCCATCTCCTCAACCCCACAGCTAAATTCAATTGACGGAACAACATCTTCATTCATCGGCGTCGCGCCTGTTTCCTCTTGTTGGGCCACTTGACACCTTTGGGCTGCGAAATTTCACCCGTATTAACCGATGGCCATGGAGTTGTCATGGCCTTGCCATAGCCGAGCTGAGCCCAGGTTCTGTAGTGATGACATCGCTTATCTTCAAACCAAGGCGACAGGGTCTGCAGAGGACGTTGGAAATCATGGGAAATCATCGGAAGACGAGGGACCGACATGACATGTTTTGGTACCCCAGCTCTACAAGCTCTATATCAGGAGGGTCAAGCTTATGGAGTGTGATGTTGGGGCCAAGTCTTCAGAACTGACAGCCTTCAGACCGATGTTTCTTGCTGTTTTCGTCTTTTTTCCAGGCCAGCCAGGCAATCTGTGACCCGGATGTCCTTAACTCTGGCCTCATGGCAGCAGCCTTGTCATGATTTTCCCATCAACTGATCAACTGAAGCTTGGAGCCATTCAGCCGCCAAGGTCGATGTGTTGGTGACGGCGCTTGCTTCGGCTGTGTGCCTGCCTCGGACGGCCAGAAGATTCCCACCGACGACATCAACGGCTTTCCGACCGGCTTCCTCCTGTGCGAAAACAACCCAGGCCGCTTGGCTCGGGGCTGGTGGCAGCTGCATGGTGGAAATGCTGTGATGATCGGAAAACAAAACTGGCGTGCAGAGCTGACTATGTGTAATTTTGCTGACCTGACTTCAAACAAATTAGTTGCCCTATGGATTTTCATGCTAGAATACTAGAGGTATCTGATCTAGAGGATAAGTCTTCCGTCTTCGAAGTCTTCCCGACTTGAGATGGGTCAGCCGGCGCACCCTGGCAGCTGTCTTGGACGCGCCGACGTGTACCATCTCCAGGGAATCTCCGTTCGCCTACAGCTTTCAGAACCCCAAGAACTACTTGCAGTGCACCGGCAGTTCAGTAGCATGGCACTGCAACAAGATCCGCTTGGCTCATTTCCAATCCAATGGATCCAATGGGATGCATAGAAAAGCAACTCATGTTTGGAATGTTTATATTTGGTAAGTTTAACGGGGGTGGGAGAATTAAACCCTTATTGAAGATCTTCAATGAATGTAGAAGTTTAACGGGGGTGGAAGAATTAAACCCTATTGAAGATCTTCAATGAATGTAGAAGTTTAACGGGGGTGGGAGAATTAAACCCTTATTGAAGATCTTCAATGAATGTAGAAGTTTAACGGGGGTGGGAGAATTAAACCCTTATTGAAGATCTTCAATGAATGTAGAAGTTTTATGGGGGTGGGAGAATTAAACCCTTATTGAAGATCTTCAATGAATGTAGAAGTTTTATGGGGGTGGGAGAATTAAACCCTTATTGAAGATCTTCAATGAATGGAAGAGTTTAACGGGGGTGGGAGAATTAAACCCTTATTGAAGATCTTCAATGAATGTAGAAGTTTAACGGGGGTGGGAGAATTAAACCCTTATTGAAGACCTTCAATGAATGTAGAAGTTTAACGGGGGTGGGAGAATTAAACCCTTATTGAAGATCTTCAATGAATGTACAAGTTTAACGGGGGTGGGAGAATTAAACCCTCATTGAAGATCTTCAATGAATGTAGAAGTTTAACGGGGGTGGGAGAATTAAACCCTCATTGAAGATCTTCAATGAATGTAGAAGTTTAACGGGGGTGGGAGAATTAAACCCTTATTGGAGATCTTCAATGAATGTAGAAGTTTAACGGGGGTGGGAGAATTAAACCCTTATTGAAGATCTTCAATGAATGTAGAAGTTTAACGGGGGTGGGAGAATTAAACCCTTTTTGAAGATCTTCAATGAATGTAGAAGTTTAACGGGGGTGGGAGAAATAAACCCTTATTGAAGATCTTCAATGAATGTAGAAGTTTAACGGGGGTGGGAGGATTAAACCCTTATTGATTCAATGAATGTAGAAGTTTAACGGGGGTGGGAGAATTAAACCCTTATTGAAGATCTTCAATGAATGTAGAAGTTTAACTGGGGTGGGAGAATTAAACCCTTATTGAAGATCTTCAATGAATGTAGAAGTGTAACGGGGGTGGGAGAATTAAACCCTTATTGAAGATCTTCAATGAATGTAGAAGTTTAACGGGGGTGGGAGAATTAAACCCTTATTGAAGATCTTCAATGAATGTAGAAGTTTAACGGGGGTGGGACTGTAATAATCCCTCATACCTTTGTTGATCTTCCCAATTGAATGTAAAATTTAACGGGGGTGGGAATTTATATTCCTAATACCCTTGTTGATCTTCCCAATTGAATGTAAAGTTTAACGGGGGTCGGAATTTATATTCCTTCAAAATCCCTAAGAAGTTGTGCGGGCGAACTGGGGGGTTTGCGCGTAATTTTACTATAGCAACTTGATAATTTCCAATCCAATGATATGTTTATAGCAACTCCAATCTTCACAATTTTGAACAGTAACATTGCCATGCTTTGAATTCATCTGTTTCTGTTTTCGGAACGACACGTGCATACTACAGGTGGGTCAATTCCGTTTAAAGCCTTAAAGGTCTTGTGAATTGATTTGTTGACCAATTCCATGCACTGCAACCTTTAAAAGTCAGCTTTATGCGTGCCCATGTCGCCCATGTCATCCTGGAACCCAGTCCAGGCTTGTTACAATTGGCGCGTCAAAGACTTTGCAGCTCTCTGCTGTGATGGCAATTCCGCATGCCGGACGGATGAGGGAGCGCAGGTGACCAACGAAGCCAACTTCGCCCTGACGTCGGGCAATCCCAACTGTCCTCCGGATGTTTGCTGCCGAGGCATCCGCGCCTGCAGTTTCCTGACCAACATTTCAGGAGTTAGCTCAGCTGCCTGTAGCAGTTCTAACGCTTGCGAGCAGGTCACCATGTTTTTGTCCAGGGACCTGTTCTGCTCGCGGCGCGACGCTTGCAAACGGGGCATTTTCCGCTTCTCAGCGGCCGGCACCGGACCTTCAAAGCACTGCGTCCAGTGCCTCGGCTCAGCCTGCAAGGGTAGCCAGATGTCCTTTACTGCCGGCAATGTCGAGTTGCAATGTCCCGGCCGCAACACTTGTATCACTCCCAATATCTCTTTGAGTCGATCGTCCTGCATCCATATCAAGTGCGATGTGCTCAGTTGCTTCGACATGAGCGTCGTCGATGACGACTCCAGCGGCTCTCGCTGTTTCTGCAGTGGCGCTGGCTGCACCAATCTGGTGGGACCACTGACGTGCGAAACGCCGTTGACGGTAAGCCCATGTTGCCTGGCTCAAAGTGCACCTAGAAGCTTTGTTTAGATCACTGGAGGTTCAGATGGGTCAGATCAATGGTTCAATGATTCAATGGTTCATGGCTCAACATGGCTCAACCAGTTTTAGATCAGTGGTGCGACCAGAGTTTGACAATACCAGTGCTTTGGGATTGCCCTAAAGGCCCCTAGGCCCCCAGGCCGCTGGCGTCGGAGCTCACCAAGGTGGTCAGGACATCTGCAAGGAGGACAGAAGTCCACGTGCCTTTTGCGACAGAGGGCTCCGAGATCCTCCAGATTGCTCAGCGTGCGCCTCTGGTGGAGGTGTGGTTGGCGATCCTCATATTACTACGCTGGATGGTCGACGCTACACGATGCTGCAGCAAGGGAACTTTTTGCTATGGAGCTTTTCAGGCGGATTGCAGTTTGGACATCTGTTCTATGTTGGCTTCGGGGCTTAGGAAAGCTCCGAAGCCAGTAGTTTCGCATTCCCTGAGCCGGGCACAGGAGAGGTAGGTTTCTTCAAACCACTAAGCTATGGGGTTTAAGTGGGAACGCCTGGCACAGGTTTGGATGCAGAAGTTCCATGGGCTACTCGGCTTTGAGGGCTCTGCCCTGGTTCATATTGTATTTGAAAGAGCGGATGTCGGAATGGTGGAGGGTTTTTCTAGGGAAAGACGTGGTGTTCGCGGTTGGGAAAGCAATTTTCTTCGGCCCGAAGACTTCCTGGTTTTTCTGAAATCTCGACAGATTCAACAGATCCAATTCGCCAGCGAAATCTGAGGTGAATGGCCAAATGAAGAGTCTTCGCTCAAAAGGGCTAAAGTTAAGCTTGGTGCTTGTTGTCAGTACAACGTGTTGTACTGGACATGTGTATCCATGTGTATCCATGAATCACAGGCATCGGGTCGTTAGAGTAGTTAATGGATGTTAATGGCAGTATAGCGCTTGACTCTTTTCATGGGTGTTTGAGCTTTGGAGCTTTGGGTCAGGCTGTGTGTGGCCTCACTTGGTTGAAGATTTCAAGACTTGAGAGATTGAGGCTTCATTTTCAGTGTCAACAGAAGCTTTAACTTGTTAAGTCATGTTAAGTATTGTTAAGTCTTTATCGACAGGACAAGTCTGCCACTTCAACTGAAGGCGAATTCCGCTCGATTTCCGAATCTATACCCACTACTCAGGCAGCATAAGCATCGAATTTATTTCATCCTTTGCCCGTGCGTTGCTGCAGTTTCCATGTTTTTGGACAGCCGAGAGTTCATTGAGTCGGATGAGGAAATTGACGAAAATTGACGAAAATTGACGAAAATTGACGAAGCACTGTTACCCTTCCTGCTTAACGTAGACCTGTCAGCCCAGTGTCAGGTCGAGCGTCCTTCACGAAAGGCATTCTGTTGGTCGACGCTCGACATTTCTGTGCTGATTTTTGTGCCAGAGCGGGACGTCGCTCAGATGCCGTTGGTGTTTTCATGTCGTCCTTAGGACCGCTCTGGAGCAGCACCTCGCCAGGTGCGAAGAGCGGTTGTGAAGGTTGTGAACCGGTTGGTTTTATGTCATTTTAACATATTTTAACTACTGTTCGGTTAATTCATTTAATGTCAATTATGTTATTTTGTTCGGTTTTTGATCGTTTTTGGCAGCTCAACTACGCAGCTAGGATGAATTTGGTGAATTTCAAGTCAACGACAGTGATCGATGTGATCGACAGGCCTTGGAAGTCACGTCTTTGGACTGCGCTTGGAAGACCAAAAGCACCGGCAGCTGGCGCCGAAGCGAGACGGAATTTCTGATCCTCGGACCATTCTGTGACATGTTCAGCATGTTTTCTCGTGAATATCAGTGATGTGTTCTATCTTTACAACATAAGGTTCTCCAACATCTTTTTTTTGCAACATTTTGCAACTCCTTCTTGAAGGTCCTGGCTACTACCGAATCGACAAAAACGTGATATTTTGGTGAAATCGTTCTGGAATTATACGGGCTCAGGTTTCACTTCAGTCTTGCACCAAGGAATCATCTTCAGCAAAACTTAATTGAAAACCTCTAAGACTCTAAGTACATCCAGAAGGTTTTGATTTTGTATGATTTTGTCACAAATTGTCCATCGTTTTTCACGGTTCTCACACCGTCCCCAAGGGACGTGCCTCGGTGCCTCGCAGCGCTTCAGGAAGCTGGAAGCTGCGGGAGCAACCTTCGGAGCTTTCAACGTCACCGCTGGAAAGGCGTGGCACGAGCGACAGCAGCGACAGGACCTTGGACGAATTGAACGTTCCGAGGTGCAGTTCCTTGGTTTATCTTGGTTTCAGGTGCTGGATATGACGCCACCTGAGGCCGAGAGAAATGACAACATCACCATCTCGGGTAGCGAAATTGGATCTTTTGGATGCTTTTGGCGTTTTGGCGTTTCTCCAGTTTCAACCCAAACTCTACTAGAGTATATCATGAGATGTTTTGCCAGACTCGTTTCAGACCCTGACTCAGTAGAAGGGATTGAACAAAACTGAACGAAGGATGGCAAGGGCATATTCTTTATTCAAGTCGATCATTTCAATCATTTCCCTATTACAATCCTATTACAAGTGGATCAAATGGTACTTTCCCATTGCTATCATTGCTGCATGTCTTCAGTCGCTCTCGAGCTAAGTTTCCGCAGCTAGGCTTTTGATGCGACAGAAGGGATGGACCAGAATTGCGCAGCTGCGGGTCACTTGCAAGCCAGGTGCCCCCGGTGGCCCCGGTGGGGTGCTATCGGATAGCAACATGATTCTGATATATTCTGATGCAACATGCAATGATCATTGCAAATCATTGCAACACATCCCAGGCCAAAGGGATCCAAAGGGCAAGTTTAAACCTCGACATGTAGAAATAAAAAGAAATACAAAGTTTAACCATGGTGGGCCCCGCCTATCTTTTTCTGGCGCCTGTTAAGCCGGAATATTCTGCCGGACTCATGCGCAGCAGTGTAGGTGGAGCTGACTTTGATAAAATCGAACATACCCTCTGGTAAACTAACATAACTGGAAAATCACCATTTTTAATGGGTAAATCAACTATTTCTACGGCCATTTTCAATAGCTTTTTGTATGTTTACCAGGCCGGGTAAATGGATCCCAAAACATGGTGCCCCATGGTGCCTCCAAAGCTTTGACCATGGGAAGGTCTGGGACTTATGTTATGCGAAGTGCGCACGGCGCACCTGATTTTGTTTCGAAGTCTTCTTCCTGCTACGGAATGCGTTTTAATGTTGATGGAAAGTACAGGATTTTTAAGCCTCTTTCAAAAGTCTTGCCTAGCCGTCTGCAGGATAGACAAGAGAACAATGCGCAGTAAAACCTTGGTATGGCATAAGCGTTCCATGGCATTCATTCCGTTACGCTTTGGAGAGTTCCTACAGATCAGCACGATCAGCTGAAGTCGGGGTCGAGTTGGCCACGCGTCAGGTCATCACATTGCCGCCAAGCTGAAGATGTCCAGTACGGCGCAGAATCGCTTCGTGAAAGGAGAACTGGCTCCTAGCGGCCACTCCACTCTCGTGGCAGGCGAGGCCGAGGCAATGTCGCCCTCGGTTTTAAGCTCGGCCATGGCTTTTGAGTACGAAGTGCGAAAGGGGTAAGATGGGATAAGCAATGGTAAGTACCCAGATTCGCTGGACATTTGTTGGCTCATGATCTTTGTTGGCCGTGTCCATGCAGGCCTCGTGTGAATTCATGTGTCATCTTGATTTGTCTGATAGAATGCTGGCTTTCTAAGCACATCTCTCTTCTGAATTGGGGTGGCTGGAGGGGGTGCTCACGAACCCACCCAGTTCAACTAAGCATCAACCTGGCCATGGTGTAGGTTTGAAGGGTGGACGACTGGCTTTTGTGGCGAAAGACACAGAGCCCCTAGCCTTGCAGGGAGCAGACGTTTTTGTTTGAAGATATGATGGTCATACAGGATGGTGCCCCCCAGTTTTAATTTGGTTTATAAACCCCATTAACTATACTATACTATAGTATACTATATAGTTATATCTACCATAAACCATAGTTAAGTCACTTATAAGGCAACCTAGCTATCTTGGGGGCCCCATCTTGTAGGTTTCACAATGTTTCACAGCAGATGTCGAGGTTTGCGGCGGACAGCTGGAGGGACTTGGGTGGAAGCCAGGAGACGGCAACGTACTTGGCATCGACAGGACGGGGAAGATGGTCGTTGGTCGTTGGAGCGTTGGTCACGGTTGGAATGAGATGGACTCTGATGGTTTTTATGATGGATTTTTGGTGATGTTTTTGTATTTTTGGTGAGGTATAAAAACGTCGATCGAACAAGTCTAAGATTCGGGAAACGATGAATAAACGATGAATAAACCAACCATACCAACCAGGGTGAAGCTGTGGCACTTCATGGTTTTCGGTGATCGCAGGAGCTGAAGGATGGGAATTTCTCTCGCGCTGCGAAGGGCCAGAGGAGACCGCAGCTCTTGCAGTTTGCCAAAAGCACTGGGCTCTGGCCAAAGCTGGAGATTCGTCGAAATTCGTGGGTTCTCGGAACGAGGTTGAGCAGAAGGCCAATTTCTTGGCTGATTGTGCTTTTGACGTTTGTGCTGGTGGTGAAACTGCCGCCCAGCTTGCAGCAGATCTGCTGAACTTTGAATAGGCCATGGCTGCAGGCCTTGTAGAAAGGCTCTGGGTCTCCTGGAAACGCATGGAAGCACTGAGGCACATGCGTCCTTGAGCCGTGTGCTTATCAATTATTACCCACTGAATTCGTGAGTTGGAAGCAATTGCGCGTGATATATCATCTGCGTTGACTTCAGCCAAGAGCGCAGATCAACGCAGATGACGTGGCTGCTGTGACTGCTTCTCCCTCCGCGCCAGAATCTTTGAGTAACAAAACTCCAAATCTTTCTGCAGTTGTCAGAGTGACATCGAGCTTTGATCAGTCCTTTCTTTAACCACAGGTTACCAACAGGTTAGCAGAGTGCCTTGCTTGTGACATGGTAAAATTAAATTCAGATGTAGGAATTTTGCACATTTTGGCTAATGGATATGTTGAAACAGGTCTGAGCCTCCTTGCCTCTAGAAACTCGGAGTATTGGCAGCTAGAAACTCGGCAGCTCGTGGTGACTCGAATAGTTTACATTTTTCATTTTGTCCGTCATGTTTTGCGATGGCTTTTGGTCATGTTTGCCGATTTGGTGCCGAAATTGGTCATGAATGGTGGAACGGTTCATCATGATCTCGACACACTCGTTTTTCCCAGCTCTTGAGTGTCTTCAGGTGAGAACTGGGGCATGTGATGGCGCAAAAATCAATGGATTTTCATGGCATTGCCATAGCTGTGGCTTGGCATAAGCACGTTTACTGCTTAACGGACATGTTGGCACAGATGGTAACCGCATTTAACGGGGCACTCAAACAGCTCCCCACAAGCCTTGTTTCCCATCCTGGGTTTAGGTGAACATATAGATGATCAATGGTTGGACTATTTTCCCAGGTGTTGTTTAATGATTGTTTCCAAAGATTTTTCTTCCGTTAAAACTGTTTTCATTAAAACAAACAATGATTGTTGTTCATGGTTTCACGTTTTTTTTCACCATCAGGTAATTAAAAAACCATTCCACTGATTGTTGTTGATGTCGTTCTCTGTGCGTTTCTGCTGATTTAACATGTCTTGCCAAGTCATAACTGTAACCCGACCACCTGCTATGACCAAACCAAGCCTTGCAAGATTTGTGGTTCGTGGATATAATGGGACGAGGTATCATGGTAGTATTATAAATGGGCTAACGCCCTGGTGCTGCCGAAGCCCCTTTCAAGGGGGGCATGGACTACTGGATATGTTTGCCAATGTCGTTTAAGTAAAAACAAATTGTGATGAAAGAGAATGTTGTTTATGAATGTGGTGGGCGACATAACAGGCGATGACTGGCCCGGCAGCTCTTGTGCTCGGTTGCTCCGGCTTGCTTTGGCAGCGTACTTCGGCCTGCGTTCCAGCAATGAAGTGTTCACCGATCATAAATCTTTGGTGAAAACTCATCGGCCCATCGGCGCACTTGCCGGACCAGGTGTCTTTGCTCGGTCCCTCTGCAGTCCTCCAACATTTCGAAGGCTTGGGTTGGCTTGGGTTGGACAAAACTGGAAAGATACATTTTGGATGAACCGTTTTTTGGGGTTTCCCAGGTTTTGTCAGATCTATCATGTTGCACTTTGTAATATGCAAGCAAAGTTTTATTTGGCCTAAGTTGCTTCGAGGTGTTCCCATGATAACTTGCCCCTGGGGGCGGCCGAACTCCAGTCGACACTCTCAAGCTGGGAGGGGTCGATTGGTCAAGGGGTACACAATCCATAACTGGTTTTTCCAATCCATAATGTTTTTCTCCAATCCAGAATTAAAATACAATGTCCAAACCTCAATATAAATATATATTCCAATCCACGTTAAAAAAATAAAAACGATCACGACAATCCATCGATGCATTTTGCAGCTGTTCTTGGCTTTTCAAAATACAAAAAAAAAGGAATTCTGGGCAAAATACAATGGCCAAAAATTCCATTTGGGGCAAAATGCAATGGAGAAAACGTAGAGGTTTCGGCAAAATACATACCCAAAAAAACATGTTGGGCAAAATACAATAGAGAAAGAAGGCATTTTGGGCAAAATACAATGGAGAAAAGCGTAAAGGTTTCGGCAAAATACATACAAAAAAACACCTGTTGGGCAAAATACAATAGAGAAAGAAGGCATTTTGGGCAAAATACAATGGAGAAAAGCGTAAAGGTTTCGGCAAAATACATACAAAAAAAACCTGTTGGGCAAAATACTATAGAGAAAGAAGGCATTTTGGGCAAAATACAATGGAGAAAAGCGTAAAGGTTTCGGCAAAATACATACAAAAAAAAGCATTCTGGGCAAAATACAATAGAGAAAGAAGGCATTTTGGGCAAAATACAATGGAAAAAAGCGTAAAGGTTTCGGCAAAATACATACAAACAATTTACATGTTGGGCAAAATACAATAGAGAAAGAAGGCATTTTGGGCAAAATACAATGGAGAAAAGCGTAAAGGTTTCGGCAAAATACATACAAAAAAACATGTTGAGCAAAATACAATAGAGAAAGAAGGCATTTTGGGCAAAATACAATGGAGAAAAGCGTAAAGGTTTCGGCAAAATACATACAAAAAAAAACATGTTGGGCAAAATACTATAGAGAAAGAAGGCATTTTGGGCAAAATACAATGGAGAAAAGCGTAAAGGTTTCGGCAAAATACATACCAAAAAAACATGTTGGGCAAAATACAATAGAGAAAGAAGGCATTTTGGGCAAAATACAATGGAGAAAAGCGTAAAGGTTTCGGCAAAATGCATACAAAAAAATACATGTTGGGCAAAATACAATAGAGAAAGAAGGCATTTTGGGCAAAATACAATGGAGAAAAGCGTAAAGGTTTCGGCAAAATACATACAAAAAAAAACATGTTGGGCAAAATACAATAGAGAAAGAAGGCATTTTGGGCAAAATACAATAGAGAAAGAAGGCATTTTGGGCAAAATACAATGGAGAAAAGCGTAAAGGTTTCGGCAAAATACATACAAAAAAAAACATGTTGGGCAAAATACAATAGAGAAAGAAGGCATTTTGGGCAAAATACAATGGATAAAAACGTAAAGGTTTCGGCAAAATACATACAAAAAAAAACATGTTGGGCAAAATACAATAGAGAAAGAAGGCATTTTGGGCAAAATACAATGGAGAAAAGCGTAAAGGTTTCGGCAAAATACATAGAAAAAAACACATGTTGGGCAAAATACAATAGAGAAAGAAGGCATTTTGGGCAAAATACAATGGAGA